CTGTCTGTCTGTCTGTCTGTCTGTCTGTCTGTCTGTCTGTCTGTCTGTCTGTTCCAAAAGACTATTACTATTACTATTCTGGTTAACATGAGCATTTCCTCTTTGGCTTCTTCCAGCTTGCATTCCAATCTATCCAAATATCCCGGGTGCAGTTGTGAACAGAAATGACACTCCTGATGGCAAGATCACATACCAAATCACATGTAGCAAGGATTACCACATGAAAGGCTCGGGGGATCTGTCCTGTAAAGATGGCGAGTGGAATGGAACTGTGCCCACATGTGCAAAGGAAGGTAACAAAAAATAATGATGTGATAATGATAATGATGATGATGATGGTGATGATGATAATGTTGATGATAGCGATAATGATGATGATGATAATGATGATGATGATGTTGATGATAGTGATGATGATGATAATGATGATGATAATGTTGATGATAGTGATGATGATGATAATGTTGATGATGATGATGATAATGTTGATGATAGTGATAATGATGATGATCGTGATGATGATAATGTTAATGATAGTGATAATGATGATAATGTTGATGATAGTGATAATGATGATGATGATGGTGATCATGGTCATGGAGAAGCCCTAGAACGTCGAAGGCAAACACTGCCCGTCATGTGCTTAGAACCAGAGAGTAGTCTATGTCCCGGTATCAATCAGCTGAATGTATCTTATTACCAGCCTACAATCACAAACAAACACTACCTGTAAGAACGGAAATGACGTAATATGTGAAGTGTCACGTGAGATGTGTGTGTGTGTAGACACATTTTGTTGCTTCTATAGAGACGTGAAAGAATGTGAATGAACCTAGAAGTAAAGTCTACGAATTGAGTTTTAAAATCGAGTTTTGAGTCTTAAATTTAATGAGGAAATCTGAATTGCTCACGTCTTAAAGTTGCGAAAATCTCTAATTCTACACTACCCGTTATGTGCGAATATATGGTTGAAATGTGGGGTGGACAAAATGTGCTATTTCCATTTCATTTCTTGGCTTCTTTTCCACTTTCAGATAGTCGTCTCACAACCTACCTCATTGCGGGTGCAGTCGTTGTCGTAGTACTCATAATAATAGCTGTCCTCATATATATTTACTGTAAAAAGTCAAGCAGCAAGACAACTAACCCAAATACCACGGTACAAGAGATGAACAGCAAGCCCAGCGATGTGCAACAGCGACCTAATCATGTCTTGTCTTTTACCAATAACGTAGCGTGAAGAATATGCGCATGCGCTATTGCTGATGATTGCTGACCAGAACATACGCAGGCTCTTTAGAACTCAAAGTCCAAATAATGGCTTGTAGGAACTAGAAACATAAGATGTAGTTGCATTGCTGTATAGTATAGTACTTAGGGAAAAGAAAAATCATATCCATGTCAGCCTCGTATTATATGCACGATACGTTTGGGAAGGGTCCATTTTGTGGGTAGATGGACCCGGATATACGTCACTGATAACTTAAAAGCTTTGGGATCGTTAGAGGGTGGTGTATTTTAGTATTGTATTCGTATTTGTACTTTTCTTCTTTTTTTAAAAATATATATCATATATTCCTCTTTTACTCCGACGAAGGACTAGCGTCCGAAACGTCAGTAAATTTTTTTGATCTTTTAACGGTGTATAATTTACCTTTTTATCATTCTTACTGTTTCATTAGAAACACCGACGCAGCTCACACTAGTTTTAGTAGTTAGTTATCTCTTCTTATACACCTATTTCAAAAAACATTGTCATCGTGATTGATGGTGATGTGATAATTATGGTTTCGTCGAATACAAAGGCATCAAATCAGTCTCAACACTAAGGTCCATGTTCTTGACGAGAATAAGAAGCAGAAACACAAGTCATTCCAGCTATTCTTGGATCTTGGAATGACCTATCTCCTATCGCTTTGCGCCTATCGCTTATTGCCTATCGCCTTTGGCGATGACAACGTTTATTGAAATAGGTGTATATTCACATATGTTTTATGGCTGTTTATTTAAGCTTATCTTTGTTAATATAGTTATCTTGTATTGGTCTTTTTATATTGTCATCATTTTATAGGACCCTAATGTAAAACACGCTTGTGACTGAGGCATTCCCAACTCGATCATTATTATATGTGTGTCTTTTGCTAAAATTCTAGAATGTTCACTACGCATGGGCGTTGTGCAGTCGCCGGTGCAATCTCGTTTCCAGAGCTCTCATTTCTTACCGCGCATGCTCGGCAAAATAATTGCGTCGAGCATGCGTAGTAAGATATAAGGGGTCTGGGTACGAGATTGTTGTCATTGAGGATGACAAAGCGAAAGATATAAAAACGGCCTCTTAAAAAGAGAGAAGATAATGTAGGTTAAATATCTGGAAATTTTAGAAAGAAGCATATTATTTATTGTGGATTTGTAATGAACGAAACTTTTCAACTTGTCTTACGAGGTGTTTAAAACAGACACACCATGGAGTCTGCACCACTCACTGTAGGATTGTTCTTTGAGACTCGAAGATTCAAAGCGAAGCAAGTGAAAAGAAAAATTGAGCGTCAAAGTGACACAAGTGAAAAACGTCTACGCATGGTCTAAATCCGTATGCAAATTAGTCAAAACCTCTTCATGCATGTTTATCGTAAAACAAGACGCTCTATAGGCGATTACTGGGCTGCCTGTATCATGAACGAAGGCCTAGTACAGCTGAAGAAGTTTGCAATGTTAGCCAAAACATAATGCAATGTTTCACAGAAAATAATATTTTCGTTTAACTCGTCTAAGACGATCTTCTCCCTTAAGGAGTTCTCTACATATTAAAATAATTGCAGGTTTTGCCCTTTTTTAGGCTATAAAATAAACAGTTTTTCGTTATGCATGTCACACTACTTGTGAATTTGATCTTGCTCCATGACGCAACAAGATCAAATACCCCAATGTTCTCAGTCAGAATCACCAATTAATTTTCTTAACTTTTTACAATCCTTTGTTATTATGTTATTTACTGGGGTAAATGTTAATTTTCCTTGTCAGAAAATGCAGAAATTGCGCAATATTACCCAGAAGTCTTCACGGCACCATCCACTAGTCCTTTGCGGGCATATAATGATCCAGGTGCAGTAAATGTTCTTGTCAGTAAATTTTGCCAGGAAAGATAGGAAAGCATAGGTCTACTTTTCGCGTATTGATGTTTCTCATATGACTGATAACGTCTGGTCGAACTTATACAACCTTATATGCAACCGACTGTGGTAAATCTTTTTTTCCTAAAAAGATTGCATTAGCTCATTGTTGAAGATTTAAATCTAATAAAAAATGGATTTTAAAAAATCTTATGTGGATAAGACGGAATTCGAACCCACCAAAAAAAAAAAATCAAAAAATTCGACTCCTCTGTGCCATACCCCCGAGACATCCGCAGAGCTGGGGCGTCGTATGGACTTCGGACATGACGGCGATTAAATCCTTCTGCCCTTGGGTGTACGAATTACGCAAGAAAATATTCTAGCCGAAGCATCAGGGGAGAGACCAGCCGGGCCCCAGACCATATCAGCTAATCCCTTGCATCTCTGACACGCACGGAATCGGTTGAAAAATGTTAGAAAGTCTAGTCTATTTGGTGCATTGTTTTCACGGCTATTGTTAAGCTGATTCACCTGAAACCGTGGTGCAGTGGATAAATCGTTGTCGTTCAAGATACTAAGTCAAGCTCGTCTGTTGAGGGTTAGCACTTGGATGGGTAACCTAAACATTATTCCTACTAACGCTTTTGCTCCTTTTTTCCGTTTTTCTTTTTTGATTTTCAAAGTAATAGAATATAGAATAGTAAAACCTTTCTATTTTTGAGTGATCTATTCTTGTCAACCCAAATCCGTTAAATGAAATCTAGCAGAGGAAAATCCCCGGAAAGAAAAAAGAATGAAACGCACGCATTTCTTGTATTTCCGGTATAAGAGCGCATGCGTTCAAAGACTTGGCAAAATATAATATACATATGTTCCGGATTTATAATTTCTATTTTGACCATAATTAAACACAGAACTCTGCTTGAAAGCATGATTTTCGTTTATTATATTCCACTTCCGCATGCGTCAAAAAATGGATTATGCCGATGATCTCGTACCCAGAGCCTGCGTTTCTTTTGGCCGCCGCAGACCAGAAGAAACGCAGGCTACGGGCAAAAGATTGTCTAAAGTCGCGTTTGATCCTGATTGGGCTGCCTGTGCTTAAGGAAGCGCGCGTCGAGACTCGTACATAGACGAATATGGACATTGCGAAAGTCTGTATCACCTGATGAAGAATAGACCACTCATTTGCGCAGGGTAAGCCTCGTATCAGTGTCTAAATATTCATAAATACCAACGGTAAAGTAAAGAATGCACAGCTTCAACAATACAAACACTTTGAAACTTGACGGACCATGACTGGAACACGTGAATATTCTGCACAAACTCGAGGCTAACCCTGTGCAAATGAGTCTGTAATCAAGAAACACAGCGGTAATTTGGAGTTCGAAACGGGTCTATTGCAGCTTGCAGTCGAAACGTCGCAGTGCGGAACAAATGAGTATCATTTTTTTATCTTTTAGCTTTTTGTTTTAAAATATTATCTTATCCAACAAAAAACGCTTGCGTTCTAGAAACTATATTATTGATGAGGCGACTTTATTGTAAAGAAAAACCTGAATAAAAATTTCCAGTTCCATCTTTTTAAAGCAGATGTTTGTTTTGTCGAACTTATATTTAACCCGAGGCCTAATGCGCCGCATCCTTGCCATTATTAGGGATATTTCCAAAACGAATTAGGCTAATTATTTTCACTATACGAGAAAAAAACTAAAGAATATTTGGTATCCTATCTAAAGACCTTTTTATCTTGAGCCTCATGGGGCCAGGCCTAATGTGAGAAAAAGATTCTTTGTTTGAGTGGTGTCCTTATTCATGTGTCTACTCATGCGGTGCTTTTACACAAAGAATTGATACTCAAGGGAATGATCTAGAATGGAAGAACAATGTGACTAAGAGATCGTTGAGATCGTTGAGTTCTAATTCATTCATAACGCTGTCACTATATCTCTACAAGCCAAAAGCTGTTTCAGAGCAAGCAGAAAGATATCCCATGTCAAGGTAAACGTTTTTACGTTTGATTTAAGTCTAATTAATATTCATTTTGCTAAATTTCAACGTGAATTTATAAACTAAGAAAATAACGACTTAGAATTAATGATAAATGTTATAAACTTGATTCTTTTATAAATTTCACTCTTAATTTTTTTCATCGAACTTCTGAATATCTGTTTTCACCGTTCTTAATTTTTTTCATCAAACTTTTGAATATCTGTTTTCAAGTGTCTACCTGGCATGATTTTGTATTCTTCTAAGGTTATTTATTATTCATGAATTTTTAAAGTTATATATACAATATGAGCGGGAGATCTTTATGAGGTTTAAAACCGGACAAAAATGTATCTTTTATCTTCCTTTTTTCCTTTTTTTGAAAGAATCACCCGTGTATTTACTAAACAGTTATTCACCTCAGGTTCAGTGAATATCGGGAATAATAACCTCAATTTCGTTTCGTTGCTGTTATCGGGAAAAAATGTGTCCTTAATCTTCCTTTTTTTCCTTTTTTTGTTGTTGAAAGAATCACCTGTGTATTTATACTAAAACAATTATTCACCTCAGGTTCAGTGAATATCGGGAGTAATAACCTCAACTTCGTTTCGGTTATTATTCCCCGATATTCACTTCGCCTTCGCGAATAATTGTTAAATAACGACCAAGTGTTTGCAATGAAGACATCACTTCTAAACAACTCCATTGAGCCGCTTAATGTTTTTTTTTTTTTTTTTAATTCTTAGGGGGATGTAATCACAACTTATACCCGAACAAGTTAAGTGCATAAAAACTTAACCTAAATTAAATGTATGACCACCTCTCGATAACCCTAATGGGTAAAAAGTTTGTGAAATTGCACTTAAGATTTTTTTTTTTTTTTAAACATTAAAAAACCATCGAAATTTTAGAGTTCAGCTTGCTTTTAAATTTAAAATGTCATCGTAAGATTCCGTTTTGAAGTTTCTATGACTTATAATTGCTTAAATAAACGATTTATAGCTAGGATAGATAACTAAATTACAAAGTGAACAACTGAAGGCATCGTCATTAATAGTAAATCATTTATATATTTTATTCCTCAAACTTTCTTTTCGGGAGCTTGCTTATAAGCCTAAAGTTTTCTATATTTTATGTTTAGTTCCAGTCCGAGGCGAAGCCGAGGACTGGAACTAATTGCAAGGACTTTGAAATCCCGTCCAGTCCGATTTGGAGGATTTGAAATGACTTCTCATACTCATTAATTATTCG